CCATCACTTCTACTCGAAATGGAAGTAATCCCAACAATAATGAAGAAGAATGAGACTAGGCCGCCGTTTTGTGGTGAGATCGGCCTTCGAATCTCGTCTACATGCCCTTTCCTACGAAATGTAAGTCTCCCAAACAACGTTGTCTTGGCAGATTCGCATGCAGAGATAGGCCGGTGAGTTTTCTTCACTCGTAAGCTTGATGAGAGATGCAAGAATTCCACCCAATCCCGATGAAGTCTAAAGGCTTGGCATATTTTCTGTATCACAAGTAGGCTTTTTGGGACCAACAGTATACCTGATCTTAGAGCTGATGAAAGACTGGCGGTTGAATTGTCCACAATCTGATGACTAGACCTTATATTTGCATTTGATCTCGCATAGCCTTGACTACCAATGGTTGTGCGCCTCACGACCGGAGGGGCATAAATCGCGTAATCACGGGGAGGAGAGGGTCTAAGATGACGACAACTCACTTGCCAGCTCATCGTGCTGCTCGACTTCGACATCCCTGCCTGCCTGGGCTCCGAGTGCGGTCCGCTTTCCAGCAAATGTGCCTGCCACTTGCGTCTTCTGCCCGTTGATCTGTCGTCCGGACGAGGCTCTGCGTGAGACCGTTGCGTCGGTCTGTCCCGTCACCGGAGGCAGCAGTGGCGAGCGCTGCTGCTGCTGCTGCTGCTGGTGCTGATGTTGTTGGTGTTGTTGGTGGTGTTGATGTTGGTGGTGGTGTTGGTGCATTGGCGTCATGCCGACCGGTTGGTAGTCGGCCACGAGGCGGCAGTCTGTGCGAATCTGTCCGAGGGCCGGTTGACGAGCGGACAGTGGCGCCAGATGAGGAGCCGGTGAGTCGAGGCCGGACATTAGCAACAGATCTGCGGACTGGACGGCTCCGGGGCTGGGAGTTGGCGCGCCGGAAGCAGCGGCGCCTGAGGTGGTGGCATTCAGAGTCTCTGCAAGGAAGCTGTAGTCGTCGGGGCTGGCGTCGAGCGAAGCGCCGACCGGCAAGCAATTGGGCGTAGCTGACGTCGACGTCGACGCCAAGGCCAAGGCCAACGCCGGTGCCGACGTCGAGGCAGAGACGGAGACGGAGAGGGAAGAGAGGGAAGAGGATGAAGAAGAGGAGGAAGAGGAGGAAGAGGAGGAGGAGGAGGAGGAGGTCCGTTCTGCAAATCCGTACGGAGCGTAGGCGTAGGCGGAGGCGTGTTGGTAGGCCTGAAACGGATGAGGTGCATGTGCGCCGTGCAGCCGAGGCGGGGGCAGCTCGAGTCCGGGCAAATGTGGCGCTGCCGGTTGCCGACACGAGGGCGAGGTCGACGGCGAAGTTGTCGGCGAGCGAATGTGCGGCGGCGGCGGTGGCGACGGCGACGGCGACGGCGACGGTGAGTGTGCGGCGGCCGGTTGGTGGAGCAACAGAGAAAAGGGGTTGGAGGAGAATGACATGCCGACGTGAGGGAGGGCGGGAGTCGAGGCGAGGCGGAGGTCGCGGCGAAAGGTGGCCTGCAGAGGGCGATGGGCGACGGCGAGGCAAGTGGCCGGCGGACCGGCGGAGGAGCCGACTGGCTGGTCGGGGCAGGAGGAGAGGAAGCCCGAGGGGCCCGGATCTACCGGACTCAGGCTTGAGTAGCAGGCGTAGAAAGACAGGCTGGGCGTGTCTGAGGTCGAGAAGAGCCCGACGGCCTCGTCTACCAGCGGTTCGCCGACTGGGTAGCCGGCCAGGCCAGGCGAGACGGCCATCTGTACGGCCAAGTTGGCGTAACAAATGGGAGGGTTACTTTAGAAACCTTACACGAAATAGGGTGAATACATCTCATTACACTTATTTACTGGTAGTCTTGAAACCCTACTCTAATACCAATATAAGTAACGTTGTCGATTGCTATAGCAAACATACGTTTGCTTCATCG